GCATTTCTCCGGGGGCCTCTGGGGCGCGGGGACGCCCTGGAGGGGGTCATGGTCCCTAAGGATGAGCAGGGGTCTGGAAGTTTCTAGACGGGGCTGCCAGCTGCTCCCCCTCTTTTGCCAGAGCAGGTCTGCCTGCAGCTGGGGCTGGGCAGGGAGAGGCCAGAGGCCAGACATGAATATGCACGCGCCTCGTGCATATGAATGCAGCTCATGAATATGCAGGCCACTCATGAATATGCGCGCGCCTCATGAATATGTATGTTCGTCCGGAATGCGAATGTTAAGGTGGGGGCAGCAGCAGGCTCAGGCCAGCAGCCCCAGGTGGTGGGCGTGGCCAGGGGTGGAGGCCTCACCCAGGATTCACATCGGGGTGGGACCGTCCATCCGGGCCCAGACGGGGCTCTGTGGTTTGCATGACGGCGGGCGCCCACAAAACGCCAGGGGCGGGGGGGGGGGGGGGGGCACAAGGCACAGCATAGCTTGGTCCCCCGTTGGCTCTCAAGAAAGAGACTGAGCCCCAACCAGTGTGGCTTCCGACTTCCTTCTGGACAAAGCCATGGTGGGGGGGGCCAAGGCAGAGGCAGCTAGGGGCGATCAGGCTGGCAGGGGGTTAGGGGTGATCAGGCTGGCAGGGGAGGGCAGTTGGGGGCGATCAGGCAGGCAGAGGCATCTAGGGGTGATCAGGCTGGCTGGCAGGGGGTTAGGGGCGATCAGGCCGGCAGGGGAGGGCAGTCGGGTGCATTAGGCAGGCAGGCAGCTGAGTGGTTAGGAGCCAGCGGTCCTGGATTGTGAGAGGGATGTCTGATCGCCTGTTTAGGTGGGATTGGGCCTAAACCGGCAGTCAGACATCCCTCAGGTTCCCAGGTTGGAGGGGGTGCAGGCTGGGTGGGCTGAGGGACACACCCCTCTCCTGCCCTCCCCTCCCCTCCCCGCCCATGCATGAATTTTGTGCACTAGGCCTCTCATCTATCATCATAATAAAAAGCATACTATGCAAATCAACTCTCAAAGGCCGAACCGCGGAACGACCGCCCTTGACCGGAATCGGAATCGAACCCGGGGCCCTTTGCTCCCCCAGGCCGACACTCTATCCACCGAGCCCTCACCCAGCCCCGGGCGAGCCTGTGCCTGTAGATAAAACGGCTGAACATCCCTACCATGCCGACCGGTGGCACGTTTTTCCCAAAAAACTCAGGGTCACCACGTCGACCTGGGCAAACTCTTTATGATTTTTCTGGACCAACTGGGGCCGGGATGATGCGGTGGCGGGGGGAGGAGAGGGAGGAGGAGGAGGGAGGGAGGGAGGGAGGCAGGGAAGGGGAGGGGCGGGATGAACCTGTCTGCAGGGCACACACATCCCTGGCAGTCTGGAAAAGACAAGAAAAAAAAAAGCAGCAGAATCTGGTTATCCGTCCCCGGAGGCCGCAGCAGACACCGGCCGGCCGGCCGCGGGCTCGGCTTACAGGACACAGGCGCCCGCTCCCCGCGCCGCCCGCCGCCCGCTGCTGAGAGAATTCCATCGGGACACGGACGGTCCTCGGCGACCTTGTCCGAGGCACCAAGGTCGTACGTAGCTCGGGGTTTTCAAAGGCCGGGGCCTCCCCCACCGTACACATGAGGGCACACGCCCTCCTGGGGTTCCGCGGGGAGGTTGGGGGTGGGTTTGGGGTCTGGGAAGACGCCATGAACCATGTCCGCCCTGCCCGGCCGGTGTGGCCCAGTGGTCAGAGCGCCATGTCCGCCCTGCCCAGCCGGTGTGGGTCAGTGGTCAGAGCGCCGTGTCCACCCTGCCCGGCCGGTGTGGGTCAGAGGTCAGAGCACCGAGTCCGCCCTGCCCGGCCGGTGTGGGTCAGAGGTCAGAGCGCCATGTCCGCCCTGCCCAGCCGGTGTGGGTCAGAGGTCAGAGCGCCGTTCCCACCCTGCCCGGCCGGTGTGGGTCAGTGGTCAGAGCGCCGTTCCCACCCTGCCCGGCCGGTGTGGGTCAGCGGTTACAGCGCCGAGTCCGCCCTGCCCGGCCGGTGTGGGTCAGAGGTCAGAGCACCGAGTCCGCCCTGCCCGGCCGGTGTGGCCCAGCGGTCAGAGCACCGAGTCCGCCCTGCCCGGCCGGTGTGGCCCAGCGGTCAGAGCGCCGTGTCCGCCCTGCCCGGCCGGCTGTGGCCCAGCGGTCAGAGCGCCGTGTCCGCCCTGCCCGGCCGGTGTGCCCAGTGGTCAGAGCGCCGTGTCCACCCTGCCCGGCCGGTGTGGGTCAGCGGTTACAGCGCCGTGTCCGCCCTGCCCGGCCGGTGTGGGTCAGTGGTCAGAGCACCGAGTCCGCCCTGCCCGGCCGGTGTGGCCCAGCGGTCAGAGCGCCGTGTCCGCCCTGCCCGGCCGGTGTGGCCCAGCGGTCAGAGCGCCGTGTCCGCCCTGCCCGGCCGGTGTGGCCCAGTGGTCAGAGCGCCGTGTCCACCCTGCCCGGCCGGTGTGGGTCAGCGGTTACAGCGCCGTGTCCGCCCTGCCCGGC